GTCAGGGGTGCAGTTGTGTGGTTTCTGCTGGGTGACTGGCTTGGCAGGCAGACAGGGGTGCTTCTTGGCACCATCTCCATCTCCAACAGTGTCACAGAATCACAGAAAGGTTTGGACTGGAAGGGACCTTAAAGATCATCTAGTTCCAACACCCTGCAACGGGCCTCTTTGACTAGACTAGGTTGCTCAAAGCCCCATCTAACCTGGCCTTGAACACTGCCAGGAATGGGGGCATCCACGGCTTCTCTGGGCAACCTGTTCCAATGTCTCACCACCCTCATAGTGAAGATTTTTTTCCTAATATCTAATTTAAATCTATCCTCTGTCAGTTTAAAGCTGCTCCCTTTTGTCACTCTAAGGGGAAGGGGTGAGGAGTGGCCTTTGGGAAATACTTTTCTGCTTCTCTTTATAAAAAGAGGTGGATTTGTCTCAAATATGTTCACATGTGCTTGGAAAGACAAGATTAAATCAGTACATTCTCAGATGTTTGTTTTGCCATGTACAAGTGTAAAAACTGAATCAACATATTTAAATAAAAGTGTACACACAAGCATGAAAAAGTGATTTTACACAAATGAGATTAGAATATGAATCTTTTATTTCATCAGCATTGCATTTTTGCTTGCTTTAGATTGTCATCTTTGATTTGAAGTGCTGTCTTGAACTTCTGGAATATCTGTGACACCAAATTCAGTGTATTTCCAAGCTTTGACTTTAAGCATTTTGGTATCCTTTCTTCTGGATTTCCTGCTGTTTGCCTCACAGTTTTCCCCTCCTGCACTCTTTTGGTCTGCCTGGCTCATTCATTTGCATATCAAAGAGAGTATTTAATTAGTTCCTGATTGTGCTGTTCCTGTCCTGTCCTCTCAAGGAAAGTTTAATCTTTCTTCATCCATGCCTTTCTTAGATATAATTCTATAAAGTAGGTGTAAATAGGTGGTTTTGCTTCAGTAATAACAAAGTAAGACATTTTTGCAGGTTTCCTTCCCATTATGGAAGAAAAGGACAATGAGTCATTGTTAAACTGTAGGCTGAAATTCAAAATATCATTGTAAAGAAACTTCACTGCTCTCAGGTAGGAGTGTTGTTTTAATAAATCAAAATAGCACACCTACCTTTTGTCTTACATAAACTATCACAGGGAGGATGCAAAAATAGATATGCAAATGATCCCCCAGTATTATTACAGAACCTAAAAGAAAGGATAATGTTATTTCAGTACTCTTCCTCACTGCCTAATAGCCAGGTTCTAGTTTTAAAACAGAGTGCCCTTTGTAATAAATTTTCATCTTTAGCGAGAAGTATGTCTTTTTTTTTTTTATTTATTGCTGTTACAGAAGATTAGGTTTTCTACTTGCTTGATTATTATTAATTAAGAATTTAATTTCTATTCTCAAGAAGTCTGGATTCTAGACTGCTGAACAACTAGAAGATTAGTGCTATGTTATGTAAGCTGTAATTGGCTTGCCAGTGCATGTTATTCACTTGTAACATCAGTGGATGAGTCACGTTTTTGCACAATAATTATGCAATAGGTTTTTCTTCCTGTCCTGAAATACAGGCCCACACTTCATTACATTTATTTACTGTAAAGTATAAATTCCCAATGGCTTCATCTTCAGTATCTGTGTGCTATTTCTGTTAGGTGTTTAATAATAATAACGACAGCAGTATACTACCCCCATCAGGGTGGACTGGTCTTCTACATGTGGTCAAGAGGGAAATCTTGAGCATCTCTTTGACCTCCTGTTTCCAGCAGTCAGGTGGTTTTCTTTCCCGAATTGCTTGGGCATTGACAGGAAGCCAAAAACCTCATATTTTCTTTGATTTTATTGAGTGGAGAAAAATACAAAGACTTTTTTTTCCTTTAACCCTGGTTTATCTGCTTGAAAGGCATACTGTAAGATCAGATTTTTATTTTTTTTAATGTATTCCAAAATCTACGGCAGTTTTAAAGAAGAGTCAAACTGGCACAGCAGACTTTTTGGTTTTACTTCATTGTGACAAAATTTTAAATTTTGTTACTATCTCATCTCCTGTGCCCTCCTTAGGACTGTAGGCTTAATTGAATGGTTATGCGAATGTTCTTAATACATGGGATCCTGTAAAACAAGGAAAGTGCTTTAACATGCCTCTTGTGCTGTAGATGGAGGAGAAAGATAGCACCCAAACTACCAGCAGGGAAGCAGGATAGGAGCAAAGTCAGTATTCTCAGAAATGCTTAGGGATACCACAGATAGGAACCTACCGGCTGACACTAAGTACTTTGAATTAAAAAGGAGGACAAATCCAACCCAGTATATTTGGTGGACAAACACCCAAGCAAGAGGGTCACTAGGACTCACATCTTGCTATGCAGTCTACCAGAGGAAGATAATTCAGACTGAAATAGCTAAGGAGGAATCTTACTTTAAAGTATAATGTAGCATTTTATTGTGTAATTATGATTTTTTTGTAACCTCTTTCCTAAACTTCAGGCTAAAAGCCTAACATAATATCTCAACGAATAAAGTTCACTTCTTTTTTTTACCCTTGTTGTGTAAGTTCAGGTAAAGCTCTCCCTGATAGTTTGAACAGATGACCAAAGCAGGGGAAGGGCTGGAGGTAAAAAATGCAAAGGAAGTAAATCAATGCATATGGAATGGTAGCTGAAGCACTGCCAGAAAGAAATGAAACTTCCAGAAATAATACTAAATGCAGCCAAAAAATCATTGTGAAACGGAACAACTCTAGCTTGAGACAGATTGCTTGCTCTTACTGAAGGCACATGAATAGATTTAGTTACCTGTAAATACAATGAGTGCTAAGTAATTACAACTGGTTAGGTATATCCCTGTATAGACTATTTTTCACAGTGCCCTGCTTGTTACATCTGCTTCTGGTGGATTGTTATCTTTTTGTTGATTCTTACATCACTTAATTTTCTAATAAGTATGTAGGAAAGCTTTTCATATGTACATTAGTCAACACATTTCCTGACAGGTTTTTTTTAAGCTGTAAGGAGCTGCACTGAAAATACCTCAGTATAAGCGTGTTATTTCAAAGAAGAGAAGTAGTGAAAAGATATCTGTATATCCAGTATCTAAAGGGGGCTTTTGCAGTATCTGAAGGGGGCCTACAGGGATGCTGGGAAGGGACTCTTCACTAGGGACTGTAGTGATAGAACAAGTGGCAATGGGTTTAAACTTGAACAAGGGAAGTTCAAGTTAGATATAAGGAAGAAGTTCTTTACTGTGAGGGTGATGAGGCACTGGAGTGGGTTGTCGAAAAAAATGGTAAATGCTCCATCCCTGGCAGTGTTCAAGGCCATGTTGGACGGAGCCTTGGGTGACATGGTTTAGAGCAAGGTGTCCCTGCCCATGGGATGGGGGTGGAACCAGATGTTCTTAAGGTCCTCTCTAGCCGTAGCTATTCCATGATTCCGTGATTCTATGATATTGCAAACCAGGAGGAGTATACCCTCCTTGCCACAAGCAGAATCTGTTTCTGGACCCTGAAGCTTTTCCAGTTACTTTTGACTTCAAACTTTATAGCCTTCTTGCTCTCCTGCTTCATGAGGATTTTAGGTCATTGTTTTCTCAACAATTGCTTGTGTCCTTACAGAAAACAAGTAAGTATTATAAAATGTCTCATAGTAACTGCAAGTTGTTTCTAGACAACAGCTGTCTGTTTTCTTAGTCTTTGAAAAATTAATATGGTAAAAATTCAAAACTTCAGGTCAAAGATCTGACCTTCAGGTGACTCTCTGAAGGATAATTATTGCAGTTCACAAATACTGTGTGTAGTCAAATATGGTAATAAAAAGACAGATGGGTGTCTTAAATGGAGTATAAGTACTAATTATAGATTCTTCTTTTATTAACTTCTTACATGGCGTTGTCCAAATCTGTATCTTCTGCTGGGTCTGCTTAACTGAACTCTGCATTTGTATAAGGTTTCATTCTGTAATGGCAGTTCTGGGAGATCATGTGATACAAATCCTGAGTCAGGCCCCAGATCTTGTTCTTCTCAAAGAGATGCAGTAGCGCAGCTGGGCTTTGAGGCCATCCCAGAATTCTGCATTTTCCCTTGCTGCCATTTCTATACAGCACAGCATACAACATGTTCAAATACACCACTTCAGAACATTACCTTAACACAGAAATGTATTTTCTTTCTTAATGTTTTATCATGGTAAGGTTCCGTAAGATAACACTCAATGTGAAAGTTGATGTTTTGCTTGTTTTTACAAGATTGAACAGACGTAAAAATGAAGAGGGAAAGAAAAACAGATTTGCACGATCTTCAGAAGTCATAAATACTGCTGAACCCTCCGTAAGCCACACCTGGTCAGCACATTTACAAAACCAAGTTATTATGTGCCATCTGTGAAAACTAAACATAGCATTTACCTTAAGAAGAAATTAAAAAAATTAGGTTTCGTTTGAATGAAACCATGTTTCCTTGACTACAGACCCTCAAATCTCTACTGATGAAGGAGAAAAAGAAACTCATTCAGCCCATGATACTTGAGGGATAATTTGAAACTAGTAAATTTTTACATCATCTGTTTCTCTTGAATAATTCAGATCTGTGTATGCCTAGCACAGTTCTTTCGTCAAATAAGTAAGTAAATAAATAAATAGATAAATAAATAAATAAATAAGGGGGAGGAAGTTTAATAAAAAAATGAAGAAGCAGTTCCTAAAGGATACCTAGTTTTATCTGAGAGTAATTCAGATTCTCTGAAAACTCCAAAATCTTTCAACTGAACGTGCATATAAGCTTGAGCTTCTTACTTAGCTGGTATTTTATCTCTGGTTATTCATTTAACTGGAAATCAAAGATAACCTGAATTGCAAAAACGTTGTTTTCTGTTCTTTGGCGGGCACTTTAGGATCCTGGTCATATTTAAATTTGATTGTTTTCTAGCTCATTCTTCAGATGTTTTTGCCAGTATGGTTTATTTACTAAAATAAATAATTCTGAATGCAATTTTGCATGTCACTTTTTTGTTGTAGGATTGTGGAAAAGGGTTACTACAGTGAACGAGATGCTGCTGACGCTGTTAAACAAATCCTGGAGGCAGTTGCTGTGAGTATTATTTAGAAACATATGCTCAGCACCTAGTTTCCTAGTTTTTCATCGTTAATTTTTTTTTAGGAAGTGGCACTTTAAAGGGCAAAAAGTGACTCTGGATAGGAATTAGCAATGTGTTTAATGCTCTAAGTCATCTGTTAAAGTGGAGTGCATGCTCTGCCCAAACTAAAAAGCTGTAGAGTTCAGCACTGATTGTTTTAGTCACAAAAGTAATTTGAAATTGTTGTCAGTTGTGTAGTCTCTAGCTCATTTTTTGTGGAGTATGTCACAGTAAGTCATTTGAAACAAGAGTGCGCTAGTTTTCCTTTCAACTGAAGCAGAGCATAGATGGCCAAACCGTTTTTTTGTGTGTGTAAAGTGTTACAAGCTGGTGTAAAGAGTTACGAGAAGCTGAGACAAGCTCCTGCAGAATACTGACATGAAAATAGTGCGCTACATTTGCAGCTGTTCCTTGAAGGTGACCCATCACAGTTTTTTGCCATTGCAGGAGAGTTCATACAAACAAGACTCACTGCAAGGGAGGGTGGACTACTGCAAAAGTGGATAGAGTATTCTACATGTCTAATCAAAGATCAATTCTCACTGCTTTTTAAATTGCAGATACATACACAGAATGACGGTAGATACTGAGAGATCGAAGTTCAGTTCCAATAGCTTGTGTAGCTCCCAAGATACCTTCTTCCTCTATATTTCATGTGGTTTTCACCCACTGAATTTTGTACAATTGGGTCACTTAGAGAAAAGTATAAAAATTTTTGAGACAAGAAGATAAAGTCTTCTAGCAGCTACATACAGGATTTCTGTCTATTACATGTACTTCTCAGTCACTTGTAGCTCTTCCGTCTGATTTCCTACCAGATGTTCCCCAAACTACTAGTCAGATGCTGGGAAGGTACTTAAGAAATTTCTCAAATGTCTAGTCTGTATGCTGGCGCTGATCACGTCCAACACAGAAGAGAGCAGATATGTTGGGTAAGAAAGAACGGTCTAGTTGGGACACTCGGAGCATTTAAAAAAAAAAAAAATAACATCGAGACAATTTTACTTTGTGAAGCTAAGACATTAGTAAGACCTAAGGAGGGAGAGATGCTAAAGATTTTGCCTTCTGCTGTGCCTGGCATCTGTTTTCAGAGTCAGCAGGACATATTTTTGTTTTTATCCAGTAGCACTATATGGTTGTCTGCAGCAGATATTTTCGGTGAAGCAGACAGGTAGCAGAAAGATGACAAAGATCTTGGAGCAGACATACATGCTTAGAGGTGTACAAATAGTGCAGATGCAACGTGACTGATTTTGGGTCTATTTCCAGACTATCATACTTTTCAAACAAAAACAACTGTTGATCATGTGGAAAAAAAGAGAGGTCAGCCTGAAGAGCTCTTCCAAAGGGTGAGAGTGGTAAGGCAGAATCTGTATGGACAACCCACAGAGATGGAGTGTCAGAAGAACTGTACTGAGGAAAGGACTGTTGACCTCTGACCTCTGTGGAAGATATCTAAAGGTGGGAAAAAGGAAATGCGGTTACAGCAGTAATGCAGTTATTCAGAAGGAACAGACTGACTCAGGCATATTTACCTGGTCGGTATTGGAGTACCCCATTATGAAAAAAATCCTATACATCATGGTTTGGTATCATTTGCAATCCTGTTCACACTAAATACAGTGTAAGAACTGGTGTTCCCAGGAGTAATCAGACCTACTGCAAGACGATCATGCTCACTTCCTGACTTTTCGAATGATCTGGTGCTTACTGAGTTGCTCTCATCCAAAGTAACCTAAATTATGCATTCAAGTTTAGTGTACAGCATAACACATTTGTATAAACTTCTTAGAACTGGGTCATATTACTATTTTATGAGCAATTTTTTCTTTGCATCGAAGTGCCCCAGTTAAGATGGTTCTACATGATTTATAATTCTTTTGCATAAAATTATTATGAAGTTTTGCTGAAAGATGTTTCAGAAGGTGTTTCAGTTCTTGATTTTACAATCCAGCAAGCAGATGAAGATCTCCATCTTCCATGAGTTGTAACAGCTTTGTTCAAATAAATTAACAGTGATATATGAAAGCTAAAAAGCTGACATTCAAGGCCAGGTTGGACAGAAACTTGGGTGACATGGTCTAAAGCAAGGCACCCTTGCCCATGGCAGGGGGGTTGGAATTAGAGGATCTTAAGGTCCTTTCTAAACCAAAACAGTCTATGATTCTGTGATTTATATGAGCATGCAATAATTTGGATTTTTATAGATCCTCGTAACAAATCCCTAGCTAAGACGGACTGTACCAACTTTTGCTGTCAGCTGATACTGGACATCTAAGCAAAAGCTGGAATGGCTGGTGGAGATGCCAACTCCCAGCTTGGGATCCTTGCAGCCCAGCTAAAATACTGTGATAGACTGGGGCTGTAAACTTGGCAGAATGGCATTTGTGAGCATAACAGGAGTTACTGTTAGAAACTGGAAAATACTTCTGCAGCAGAGTAATCTTTCCAGAATAAAAGAAAATATATCTATTGATGATTCTTAAAACCAAATAATTGTACAATCCCCTCAATAGACCACGACAATGAATACCCTCGTGGCATCAGATAGGTGTTCTGACTACTGCAAGTTTTATAAATTTCTCTTAGCAAACAAAGCATTCACCCCCTGTTTGCTGAATTCTCTTGAACTAGTCTACCTACTTATTTTATAAACCCCTTAAGGGCTATTAATGTAGTAATGGATCTGTCCTCACAGTGGATCACTGACATATGAAGGCTTGTCTTCATTTAGCAAAGAGTTTTTTCAAAGTGCTTCTAAAGGATTTAATCAAAAGTGTAAAGTGGGACTTTAGAAGCACCAAAGAATTTTGCTCAACTCAGTCTGAAACTGTTTAACCAAATGGACTATTAAAAAAAAAAATCTTTAAAAATTCTTAAAAAAAAAAACCCAAAACAAAACAAAAATCCAAACCAGCAACAAACAACCACACAAAAAAAAAAAAAGAACGCAAACCAACAACAACAAAATCCCACACAAAAAAAACCCAAACCAACCAACCAACCAACCAAAACCACACACAATAAAGCCCCTCCTATAAAGCCTCTATCTTGGTCTGTCTGTTTTTTTTAATGTCTGAGTACGGTAAGCTTAGCTGTAACAAGGCTTATCAAGAATTAAGCAAGTGGTTAGAGTAACACATAGGAAATTAATCTTCCAGGTCACAAACCAGCATAAATATATCAGACATTTGTTCTCCCAAGAACAAAGAAAATAACAAAACTAGCATTGTTCTGAAGACTACGGCATCCATTTTGCCCCTCTCCATCATTTTTTTTTCTGCTTATTACATCTGTGTTCCCAGTGCATGGATGTATCTGCCCTTACTGGGAACAAATTACCTTTTTTTAATCTCTTCTGCACCTTTGTCTTTTCCATGATTCTTCTATTGTTTTTCAAGCTGGGAGATAGCTTCATTCGTAAAATGAAAGGCTTATACAAATCTAGGGCAAGCCAGTGTTCATTTCTTCAGCTCTTTTTCTGTGCTGTTCAGAACAGGTATGGAGCTTTTGTTGCTACCCAACATCTCATAACAGGGTGAAATTCATTCCTGAGAGATAATGCATTTGCAGCCTTTCTTAGCACATCATTATCCTTCCTCTCCTCCTCAAAGGATCAGTTGTATACAATATCGATTTCTTGTGTGCTTATTTTTGCAGCAGTTTTCCTATTTTGTGTAATCAATGGATTTCTGCACATGGATGTCCCAAGGCCAGTCTTCGCTGCCTGACTTTCAGAATGAGTTATTGATGATATGAAATTCAAATAAACCTTGAAATACTGGTCACAAAAAGACACACTTTTTCTGAAAGACATCTGCTTTTTAGGTGGTCAAACTTAAGAAAATTAGACTAAATTTAATTTTTTTTAAGTGTGTATCTTCAAAGTCTTATATTTGTCACTAAAAAGAAACTGTTCCTTCTTGCCTACTCTGCATTAGTGTCAAAGTGATAGGTTTCTGCTTGAGAGTTAAATTACTCTTTTCATTATATTTAAATTTGAAATTATTTTTAACAGTTTAGTTTTTGTAATTACAGTAGTTACTAGATATCATCTAGACAGAGTTTTGAACCCACTTAGCAGTCTCTAAGTTAATTTATATTATTTTATAATATGTTGTTTTCTTATGACTGGCCATCATTTTTCCTGATAGGAGCATTTTCCTTAAGGCATATGTGGGACCCCCTCTGTTTTCATTTCCATTTTCTATTTCAATTTTCTACCACCTCAAGTTTCATTGTATGCCTGCATTTCTATTCAGTTTCTTGGCAGCTTAAATTCACAGACAGCATGCTGAACTCAGCTGTGATGACAAAGACTGAGGGCACTTAGTCAGTTGCAGGTTTGAGAGAAAAAATCTAGATTAAAGGTTTCTATTCATTTCAGTGAACTTTGATCTGTCTGATAATGAGCCGTATGATTGTGGGTAAGGACCTCCTACAAATGTGCATCTTGCAAGTATATTTTACAGACCTTGAAGAGTTGGAGTGCCTAACAATTAGAGCTTAGAGCAAATGAGGTAATGGGACTGGCTGAGATGGAAGAGAATTGGTTAAAATATTTGGGGGTTTTGGCATTCAAAGAAAAGTGGACATTAGATAAAGATTAAGAAAAAGGTTTCATTTTTTCTATATAATTGTCTGTGTTTTGGTTGGGATAGGGTTAGTTTTCTTCCCACGAGCTGTTGTAGTGCTGCGTTTTGGATTTTGTCTGAGAACTATGCTAACAACACACCAATGGTTTAGTTGTTGCTCAGTAGCACTTGCTCTGATAAATGACATTTCAGTCTCTCATGCTTTGCCAGTGAGGAAGGACACAAGAAGCTGGGAGGTAGCAGAGACAGGACATATGACCCAAAATAACCAAAGGGGTTTTCCATACCACAGCACATCATGCTCAGTACATAAACTGGGTGTAGTTACCTGGAAGGTCAAGATTGATGCTTGGGTCAGGCTGGGTATCAGTCAGTGGGTGGTGGGCAATTGCACTGTGCATCACTGCTGTTTGTTTTTTTTCTCTTTTTTTGTTCTCTCTCTCTCTTTTTTGCCTTTTTTAATTACCCTTTTCATTGTTATTATTAGAATTAGTATTATACCTTATTTTAACTGTTAAGCTGTTCTTAACCCATGGGTTTTACCTTTTTTCCAATCTTCCCCATCCCACTGTGGGGTTGTGAGAAAGCGGCTGTGTGGTACTTCGTAGCCAGCTGGGCTTAAACCACAACTATCACTGAATTAGTGCCTGCTGGGTATAGATGTAATGGATGGATTTTAGTTTCAGCCACCAGCTACGAGGTGAACTTAACTGAGGCTTAAACATGACAGAATTCTGAAATGTTGAACAAATGTGTTATATTATCAATAAATTCTTAGCCATGCCTAAAAAGGCACACTGTTAAGAAGAGTAAGTGTGTTGAGACAAATAAGGAAGAAACCCCAGCTTGGGGGGGTGGGGGTAGCGGTGGGATTGAGGGGTGGAAGGGAGTGAGGGGAGAAGGGGAAATGTAAAATTTTGTCGTTTTTTCAGAATGTTTGCTCAAAAGTGGTATTCCAATAACTTGCAGGTGTAGGCCATGTTCATTGAGTATGCAGTTGTAAGTAAAAGGACAATGCTTGCTACTGCAAGACAAGAAGCAATTTGCTGTTCTGGCTAATTCTGTGCTATTATGATGTCATATTGTGTTCTCTGACATGATCTGCTTTTGCCACTCTCCTTCTAACACATCAACAGGAAAAAAAATGAACAGAGGTCGATGGTTTTCAGATTTAACACTTGCACTCTGGCACACTCTGATTTTGGAAAATTTGCATAACAACATTTTGGATGAAGAGGCAGATAAACACTGAGTTCAAAACAGGGACAGCTTCTATTTCCAGTTAAAAGCACCATTTGCAATGTAATTGAGGACATGTATGATAAGGATACTTGTATTTGTTCTCTTTTTAACAAGTAAATAGGTTGCAATATGTAAGGTGAATTCTGTGTTGCTATTATGGCAATTCATGCAGGGAAAAATACAACATAGAAAACCTAGACTCCGAATCAGTTTTCTTTGAGCTAATTCTTGAGCTACCTCCTGTTACTGAAGTTTGTCCAGGAGTGAAGGATTGCTCACAGAAACTGAATTTGAACCTTCAGGGAGATGTGATGTCGATACCCATGTCCCTGAGCTGGGAGTTGTTCAGAGCAGTTGGTGTCAGTGGCCCAAGATGTTCAAAAACTATCCTGTTCATTCTGATTTCTGTAATGACACATATTTTGGGGTATTCAGTTCCTTGTTTTAATATATGAAACATAAAGTCTTACTATGCCCTTTCCTTGTAAGATTATCAATTCTAATATAGAATTATAGAATCATGGAATCATAGAAACATTCAAGGCCAGGTTGGACAGGGTTTTGGGCAACCTGGTCTAGTGGAATTTGTCCCTTCCCATGGCAAAAGGGTTGAACCGGATGAGTTTTAATGTCCATTCCAACCCAGACCAGTCTGTGATTCTGTGATTTCTTTGTTACACAAATTAATACAAGGAATGTCACACGAGATACACTGGTTGTACTAACTGTTTTAACAAAGTTTAGATAATTGAAAGGTATTATGAATTCCCTGTGAAGTCTTGTCCTGAAGGAAGGTACAAGACCAACTAAACATGATCCTTTGCTTACTGCAAAGGGTTCTACAGTGCACTTTAAGTCACAAGTCAATAAGGAAAGTGCTGTTCAATAAAGGAAGTGCAAGTCAATGAGGGGATGAGAATGTATGTAATTATAATCTTATTATTTTGGGATTCTGTGATTATTACCACTTATACTTGTAAAATTATATTTGAGTAAGCACATCACAGTATGAGAAAAAATGGACATTAGTTTCCATAATGACAAGCGTATATCATCTGATGTGTCTTGCTTGTAGCCTCCTGAAAGAACATAAACATCCCATTTAGAAGTAACTGTAGCAGAGTGCAGAATAAAAAGGTTGTAGCAATGTTTCTGAAAAGGACTTCCATAAAAAAAAAATGCCTCATATGCATAATAAATCCTATATATCAAGGGAGGGTGCCATACAGAGAGAAGGAATGAAGTAGCAGAGAGTGTCTGCCTGCATATGCTATCTTATAATGCAGTCAGTGAAGGCATGTAGGACTAATGGTTTGATTGATATCAAGGTGTGTTTTCCAGAACAGTTATATACATTCTTCCCTTTAATCTGAACTGCGAGTATTGCTATGGACATGGCATACCGCTGAATGACTTGCAGGGAGGAGTAGCAGTATCCATTCTAAGACATTGTAGTTGGGGGTTTTTTTAATTAAAAAAAAAAAAAAGGCCGTTTGATGTATTCTAGGCACAAAGTGTTTATTTCTTCAAAATTTATTTGAGTGGCTTAAAGTTTAATCCTCTTGGAGAGGGGTGATTTAACATACCGCATTATAGAAATGATTCCATGGGAGCTGGGAAGTCACTTCTGCCTTTTCTTCCTTTGGTGACAACATTTTAACAAGGGCTTTTTAAGTACCCTGGGGAGACTTATCACACATTGCTGTCAAGAGCAAATAAGCAAATAGGTAAACTGTCAAGTTAGGTAAGAAACCTACTGAAGTGCTGCCACTTCATGGGAGAGAAATGTATTTGTTCCCTAACCGTGCTATTTCTGAAACAATGTTATGTGCTGGTTCGTACATAGGATAATCTGTTTAGAGAGTGAGGGCATTTTGAATTAGTAGCTTCATAATATTGCTAGCTTACATTCACTTTTCATGTTTGTTGTAAAGAGATTTTGAACAATTTTTTCTTGTTAATGATGTATTTAAATTGTTGGAAGGGAAGTACATTGGGTTTTATTATCACATCAGCATGATTTATCAGTAATTTGATTCAGAATTGTTTTGACAAAAACAGTTTTGGAGACCTGCTCTAAGATAAGTGCAAAGCTCTCTTTGCAGCGCACAAAGAAAAGAGATCTACTGCCAAAAGGGTCTGGCAATGCTGCAATCATCAGTAAGGAAATGAGGGTATTGTATTTGCTGTTTTCCCTAATAGAGGAAATGGAACAAGTACTAATGATCGTGCTGTAGGTCTACTGTATTACAGTTTAATGTCCAGTGCAGCAGAAAGGCAGGGTCATATTTGCTAAGTTGTTATGACTTCAAATTATGCTTTCATCTGAGTAAAGAGTCCTTCTTTCGATTTGGAAACAAGTTACTGCAGTATTAGTTTTGAAAAACTATTTGGAAATCACAGTGAAAGTGATTAATTAACTCTTTTTTTATTTCACAACACTTCACAAACACAGTGCCAAATGCTGCTGTTTTCAAGCTAATGCCTGCAGTTAAATTTTATTCCAAGAGGCTAACATTTACCAGGGAAGTTGCTGTCTAAGAGCTGATTAAGAATTCAAGAATTTGACCTCTTCCTAATTCATCTCAGGCAGAAGGGCAATTTTCCTGTACCTTCATTTATAAGATGCATTGTTGAAAATACTGTGTGAGGAGAGTGCTGCCTGATTAACTGATCTTTTGGCCATCATTTGACAATGGCCTGGCCATGCCTTTTAGAAAACAAGGCACAGAAAACAATTTCTGTAGCTCTGTGCTGACACTGAGCATGAGCCTGAGTCTTGGCTTTAGACAGCTACTCATATCTTTCCTGTACGTTACCAAGCACACTGTTAGCAATTGATAAATCACAAGTAAAGGAAAAAGAAAAAAAAGGCTTTTCTCAGACTTTAGTCTTTTTAATTGTAATTTTTATTGCACATATCGTGCAAACTGTCATGGGGGAATGACATCCAAATATCAGTCCCTATGGAACGTAAGTCATGTACAGTCTGAATCTACAAATATACATTTCACTTTAGGAGCCTGGCAGGGCTCTGAAGTGTCTGAGCTGGAGAAGCTCCTGAAGCATCCTGAGTGCCCCACTTACTGTGTAGAAACAGTAAAAACCTAGCAATTGCATGCAACGGAAAAGGTCAAGACCTCAGTGAAATATGAGGAGGTCTTGCCTCAGAAATTGCCCTGGAGTAAATGCCAAAATAGAAAACCACCCATCTGTGCATGGACAAATGGAGGAGAAATGCTAACTGACACTGCAGGAGTGTCACCAGCAACTACTGCTTTTCATGCAGGCCACGCAGCCCCAGCCATGTGGATATGTAGTACATTCTTTTTCTAAGGGCTAAAAGACATCTGGTTAAACGCTACATCAAATTCCCTAAAACTTTTCTAAGGTCTGAGTAAACATACAGAAGTTCAATGACTTTTAGAGAATTTGGTGTTGTGAGTAGGGCCTGAATGCACCTGTGCACAAGAAGCCCCCCTTGTCCTGTGTGAGGACACCAGCCAGAGGACAGAAGCAGTTCTTGTCCCTGCAGTGTGCTAACAAGGAAGAAAATTGCTTCCCCAAGCAAATGGCATAAGTAGCAGCACCTTTGCCAAAGTCACTGCTTTATCCCCAGAAGGATTCGCTGAAGTGTAAGGCAGCCCTTTTCTTCATCCCTCCCCATTCACAGGGCTGTGTTTTTCTGCCTCCCAAGTCTGTTGTGCCTGCAGACCTAAGTGAGGACAGGATTGTTTCCCTGTGTCTGGATGTTCCTGCCTTGGTAATCATGGTAAGGATAAAAATACATGGTTGTGCAGAAGTAAATTGAAAATGAACCTGTGAAATTATAGGTATTTGCAAAAAAATTGCTCAACTGCTGTAGCCTTGTGCAGTTTTTAATCTCCAGTTCCACAGTATTGGACTGATAAGATGCAGGCTCTCAGCAAAACGGCTATTTGCAAAATTGCATTTTTTCATTAAGAAACTTACCCTAATCTCTGTGCCTGTAGTTTGAGGAAATGCTAAGATAATTTCTGCTGTCTTTGGGGGATATTCCTCACACACCAGCGGGCCTGGCATGAGCTACTATTGACTGACGCTGATCACTCTTCAACAGGCTGTGTAAAAATCATTGTTTCAGATAAGTGGTTTTATTTCCACGGCCCTGAGAGCATAAGTGAAAAAAGATTATTTATTCCCTCGAGATTCCTTACTGATGTCCTGAAATGTCAGCAACTGTGGATATTTTGTATCTTGTAATGAGTCTGGTTTTCTTCTTTTTCATTTACTCTTTGTGACAAGTATTTCCTAATACTTATTTCTTACTTAAGTATTTATGTTAATATTTGTGTGACTGATTTTACATGCTGTTCTCATATTGGCTTGCTGGCACATGCAAATTGCTTTCTGAGCTCCTTTACCTCCATTTTTAATGTTTTTCAACAGCTAGCAACAAAACCAGAGAGTGTCTTGGCTCTTGGCTTTAAATTACCCACACCCCTGTTTTTCAGTTGTAGTTTTCATATACTTCTGTGGCTGAAGATCCAAACTCTAGCATAGGTGAATAATGAATCTGATATTTTCAGGAATCAGTGCCACTTCACACTTATCACGCCAGCAGACTTGAGTTCATTATGGTGCATGTCATTTCATAAGGTAGAAATAATGAGAGGATATATGCAAGAATCTCTCCTTGGTTGGATGACCAGGGGATTTTACAGGAGCACAGGCCTTCCAGATTTATTACACAGTGCCTAAACGTAGTACACAACCAGTTTCTGGATAATGAGAAATTCGATTGCTTGGTGAACAGTGCTGGACGTGGGGCTTTTGGTGGATTTTCTGACACAAGTTTGTGTACAATAGTAGTGATGGGCAGCAGCTGGAGTGTAAACAAACAGCTTGTTTCATTATTGGAATGTGCCGTTCCAAATACTCTGCTCAGCTGAGTCCATCTGACAGGCAGCAACAGCAGAAAGTCAGTATGCTGCCAATTACAAAGTAAACATACACATTTTATTGGTTAGGATTTAAAATTACCTTGCCTTATTGTGGTTAGCCATCTATAAGGTATTATCATACTATTTACTTACTATCATAATTTATGGTAATAAAATATGGTAATTCTGGATTTTAATTTAGTGTGCAATATTTAACAACTGTAGAGCTAGGTGCCATGAATTATCAGGGCTGCAAGCTAGTCCTCTTTCTTGCATCTGAACTTCACTGAGGTTCTTGTATCTTCCTATGTGACACATTAATGCATGTTTTTAAGTTGCTATAAATAACTTTGAAAGGCACGTAATAATAACCTCTCAGTTTTAAAGCCTTAAAATTACATCACTCATTTAAAAATCAAGTTTTAATGTAAAATTCCATTATGATGTGATAAGATGTATTATGAAACATCGCTGCTAACAAAAAATCCGACATGGTTTTCTGTGCTGATACAACACCCTAGAATAAGTTTTCTCATGTGGCTGTGTGAAAGCATGAATAACTCAGCAAATCACAAACTAGAAACTTAACAGCTCCATGTCTCTCAGAAATGAGTTCTGTCTTCCTGCAAGCATGCTTCATTGAAGACACGAGCAGTGCTTCCACCATGAGGAGTGGGGTTCCTGTCCTTTCTCTGCCAGTACGGATGGCGGTGCAGATGTGCACAGCTGGGGCATGCCAGCATCTTTGCCTTCTCTGCAGGGATTGCTGAAGGAGTGATTCACCTTCATGTAGGATGCTTTCTGCAAGGCCTGTTCTCTAAATGATGCAGCTCAGTGATGCCATGTACCCTACACTCAGTATTGGGTCCTTGCAGAGAGTGGAATAGCAGGGAGGATGGACTGCTGTAGCTCATGTGAGTGTTATCTCATACTCCAGTAGTTAAAATTATCTCATCGTGATTAACCATCTTGGGTGCTGCAGCGCAGAAGGCTGCTTTCAGAGCATCTGTAATGAATACCATGTGTATGCTATTCAAACGCAGCAAACCACAGCAGCATTAGAAAAAGGGCTGCAGTTGTGTCTAACAGCATGGTGTAACTCTTCATGCTGCTTATAACCCCATCTGGGACAGGACATGTTGGTCATGAGAGATCGATTTACCTTCACTTCTTCCCTTGCTTGAAATGTAAGGATTAAGTGGCAAAATTGATGAGGGAGAAATGTAAAAGAAAGATCCATCTTCTCCAAGAAGGTTGAAATACATTTGAAAGGCTGGGCAATGGTTCAGTGTCCATCAAAGTCTTGGCAGTATTCATTTTGTAAATTATTGATTCTGCTTTTCACTTACCCGCTCTTAAATCAAATGGGTGAGCAAAAGCTGAGTTTTGTTTGTAAGAATAGCATAGATTTAGACAAAATACTCTTAACAATAAGGGATCTGTGATCTCTTTTGATATTTTGTAGCATTTATCTGGCTTTCTGTGCAAGCATGACCCCCTGCAATCATTTTGTATGTGTTCCTATGTGGAAGGACAAAGCAGTTGAAAAAAATTAATAAATTCACAGATAAAATTAAAAGCTCTGGTTTCTAGTAAATGCTCTGATAGCCTGAATAAAAATTTGGTAACATGCAGAGAAAGCAAGCCAAAGACAAAATCTTATAAGTTTTGCTTTAAATATCCATGTGGTCACTGAAACTTGCAGCAAGGATCGGGTCCGGTATGTCACTTTTGAATGTAAAATATTTCCAGCCCTGTATGTTTTTACACATATTGCTGTGTGAGAATGCTGTTGTCCTGTCCTGGGTCATCACAAGTTTTACCAGTGGAGGTGTTCAAGCTGCCCATTTCCTAAGCTAAATTTCAAAGTAGTGGTCTGAAAAGAATGCCCTGTTTAGCCAGAATACAGATCTGCTTACTTTTCTCCATCTCCGATAATGCTCTGGAGGAAGCAGCAGACTGAAGCAGGTTTGTATCTGAGCACACCATTGAGTGTCTGTTTCAGAAATGCATGGAAGATATTTGTAATTGTGTTCTAGTGACAGGAAGAAATGTTTAAATAATGTGATGGAGGCTTTTTCCAAACTATCAGGTAAGGCAAGCACAGCGATATAGTTGGCCTAACATTGCTACAACAGCATTTGTTGAGAAATAACTATTGAAATGGCCAGTAAAGCTGTAAGTCTCTTCTGGGGGGCTTTTCAAGTTAATGGCAGGTAACTCTTTAAGTTAAGGACCAGATTCTGAGGCTGTTTTCTGGTACCCCTGTGAAGCAGGACGGTGCTCTCAACATGCTTTGTGATTCACATCATGCATCAGGCTTTGGAGGCAACAGGCAGCAGTGTGGCTTTGACAGGTTGGACGCTGCGCCTGGTGTCACAGACACCACCACACAGATGTGCCAGGCACAACCCCTCAGTTGCGCAGCTCCCAGTGTTTCAGCCTCCTGCCAGCTTCCTCATGAAACAAACGCCAGAGCCAGCTGGGTTTAGGTAGGTCTAGATCTGCAACTCATATAATTCTATCTTGCACAGAAAGCCTTTAATCTGTGAAAGAGAAGATTCATTAAATGCTACCACCCCTCATGTCTGATGTACTCAATGTGATAAACTGCTACACAGAATGTACATGTGGCTTTTTAAAACTAAATTGTTAACTTCTGTGTTACCTTTTAGTTACTGTTCTTCCTGGACTTTTTTTCTGTTGTGTCCTTTTTATGGTTTCTTAGAATTGTTTTTTTCCACATGAAATACAGATTGATATGTCTAAATAGTGAAAAATCATAGGCTGGTTTATAGCTTTCTGTGAGTTTTCAATTTGATTCATAATTTTAAATGGTAGAGCTGATGTGTTTGATCTAGGCAAAGAAAATACAATTCTTTAATAGGGCACCGCTGAGCAAAAGAAATGAAATAATTCACTGGCCTGTTGTTTTCAAACACTTCCTCAGAGACTTGGGGTTTATTTCAGAGCTGTGTCCAGTATGTTGCATGCTTGGAAAAGGTCTTTGTCCTTTCATGCAGCTTTGGAAATGTAAAAAGAAATTGCACCAACCAAATAAGGTAGCACTTTATTCTTCCCAGCTGGCCCTCCCATTGGCAAGCATAAGACCAAAAGCCTCCTCCATAGCCCTTCCCCAAAGATCAGCTAAAATTATCCCTGACACAGACCCATCCAAAAGTCTGACATGCAGCCAGAGATGATGAGAAGAACCTGGCAGCCTTTCAAACATGAGACCTGTAAGACCCCAGAATTCCCACATAAGCCTACTCATAAAAAATAGTGTGAAAAGCCGTCTGTACACAGAAGTGTGCCCTTGCCCGCAGGGACTGCAGATGTGTTTGTCACTGGCAGCCTTCACTGTGTTTCTTGCTCTCTTGCTGTAGCTTAGTGCAGCTCTGTTAACATTGCAGCACTCAGGAGGAGTGTGCAGTTTAATATAGTTAGAGAAAGTAGTTTGTATTTTATCAATATTCTGAGATTGAATTACACACAGGAAAGGCAGTTATCTGCCAGGGCAGGGAGATATAATCCTTCACCAGTGTACCTTCACCAAGTGGGCCTTCTATGTCATTCCTCCTTTTAATCCTGAGCAAGGAACAGCTTTTGGGCTGATAAGTTACACTGATAAGTGAATGCAAAAAGCTGCATGGGAAGCCAGAAATGCTCTCCTCTTCCTTAAAGTCTGTGATTCACATCACACATCAGGCATGATAGTCCTCACACAGTCCAGCGTGCCAGAACTGAAGAGAAGCATGTATCTAAAATGTTTGGAGATCAAAGGCATAGGCTCTGAGCCCCACTCTGGATGCAACGTTTGCTACTGAAACAAAATTGAATCTAGCTTTAT